CGGAAGAGCTTTCTGGTCTGCGTGTTGCACAGGGAAGTATCAGCCCTCCCCTTTCCAAAAGCAGTGCTGCGTTTTGACTCTTCAGCAGTTTTGGATGTAAAATTACTTCACTAATTAGTCCGTGACCAGCTCTGGTTATTTTTTTTTAAGGGGACAAGGAACCATTTTGCTTGTCTCTGTTTTTCTGCTGAAGCAGGTTTTGCTGTACCCAGCCACCTCCAGTGGCGATCTGGCCTTTCACAAATAAGAAGGATTTGAGCACTTAATTTTCTTTGCTCAGTATGTGCTAAGAAAGCAAAGGGACAAGAAGATGCCCTTTTTGCTATTGTTGGCTCCTGCCACATTATTTGGGTGCTCTCAAGCCTTCCTCAGGGAGTCAAGACGTCGGCTTTGACCTTGTGCGCTTCCTTCTCCTCTCCCTTCTGCGCAGGGGTCGATAGGCGAGATCAGAGATTTAATTCCTTTAGAAGCTTAGGAGGTATGGTTCAAAAAATGAAGATTTCTTTTGCCTTGTAAAATTGTGTGAAAGATATCTCTTTCCTCTGAGCCTCCCAGGCAATTTGACAAGCTCCGTGGCAGTCGAGGGGAAGACTGTTCTCTCTGAAATGCACACTGAAGACCAAGCCGCATCCCAAGGAGATGCCGTGTTTGCTTTGGTTCTCTGCCTGTCTTACCCTCCCTCTGAACCCTCCCTCCTTTGGGCAACCCGGCATCATCACCATCCCTGTTCGATTGTATCCCTTCATCTGGGAAATAGCCACATGGATTAGGAAAATTGGGTTAAAATGAATGACCTGGTGTTTCCTAGTGATGTACAATGACCACCGATAAGGGAACCCAGACCTTTGCTTGCTTCTGCCTCCCCAGCGCACAGTTTTTTTTTCCCCTGTGGGACACATGATGCAGCTCTTCTGTCTCTCCTAGGTCTGGCCAGTGCTAAGAGCGAGAGATCAGTGGCTGGAACTGGAGCCTGGGCTGCCTGCGTGAAAAAGCTTATGCTGTTATTCTGGCCCAGAATCACAAGTAGTGTGTAGTATTTTGTTGAATAGGACACCATGAGTCCGACCCCCGCAGCCAGTGGAGATAACAAGTTGTCCTGGTTTCGGCAGGAAAGTGGATTTGCATCTGGTGTGATCAAAATGCTAATCTTATTGCAGAAAATATCCTCACCTGTGTCACGAGCACATCTCATCTGCCTTGCTGGCTGGAAAGGCTGGATTAGAAAAATCTGTCTGTCTGATTATTTTTGTTTAATTTGGAGACTGAAATATTCTGGGCCAGTTTAACTTTTCAGTGCATTGACCGGTGCTGTTTTGTTTTGCGATTCAGGGGAAAAGATTTAATATCCCTTTTTGTGTGATGTTGTAAACATACTGTTTGTGGTAGGTTTAATGACAGTCTTGTTTTGTGCTATCCTGTTTTCTAAAAAAACACACCAAACAACTAAACAAACAAGCCCATTTACTCTAAGGCCCAAAACCCTGGCTCGTTTGACTTGGCTGAACTTTCCATCTCTCCCTACACTTTTCAAAGGCTGGGAGGATGATTTTAGAAACTGGGAAAAACAAAGGAGAGGAATCAATGAATCTCAGACTGTTGTACACAAATGTCTGAAAAACATCCTGGAACAAACCTTGGTGCTTAGGATCATGATGGCCTTACCAGGCAAGTTTCTTGCCCATTCTGTCTAATGCCACAACCCCGTGGCTTGACTTTACTCCAACGCAATCAATCCTTCCATCAGCTCTGCAAGAGGCCGGCTCAGTTATTCCATCTGTGAGACACTCGTTTAGCACGGGCTGGGACCAGACACCTGCCCTGGGACCAAACGATGCGCTCCCAAAGGGAGGAACTGCATGGTTTTGCTGCCATGAATGATAATTAATATTTAAAAATAAGTACCAGGCATTTCAAAAAATATGCAAGCGGAGTTCTGGCACAGTTTGTCCGCAGCTCTGCAAGGGAGGCTGAAGAGGAAAATTTGCCACTCGGGTTTACAAAACAGAGCTGCCTTCTCCACGCAGCACTTCTCGGTGTGCTGCCACGAGGCAGCCCACTCGCTGGTTGTCCTGTGCTGAGAAAACAACTGCCATTTGGGCTGTCATGTTCTCCTCTCCTCTGCTAGCTGAGGTCGCTTCCTTGCCTCTTCATTTCTATTCTTGCATATTCCCCATCACCCTCCGGTCACAGTGGTGCCCATCGTCCCCTGCCCCCTTCACTCTCTGTCTTTCTTGGTAAGTAATTTGAACCAGATGCCTGCAAAGCCTTTGGGGCCTTTAGAGAAGGTGCCTGTAACCCCTTTTTTGCTTGCAGGACCATTGCGGCAGGTTTATGCTCCTTCAGGGTCCTGTCAAGGACTGTTTAACCCAAACACACTTCACTTTGCTCTTCTCTCCATTTTTTTTCTTGTCTTTCTTATTCAGCTGATCACTCTTTCATAATTAGGAGGCTGGGTTTTTTCTCTGTTGTACTTTGAGCCCTGCTTTTTTAAGATGATGCCAGAAAACTGCCTGATTTAGCCTGGGTGGTTCTAGTTTTACTTGCAAAATAATTGCTTTCCTTTAGATCTGTATTTCTCTTATGCAAGTACAGGAGGAAAAGGGAACAACATGTTGCATAGCGGAGGATGAAAAGCAGTTGAAGTAAGGGATGACAGGACAGACCAGACAGGTATAAAACCAAATTGGATTAATTTCAGGATATTTTAGACTGCAGGTCTCTTGTAGGTACTAACAGGGGGTGCAGCAGAAGATCACTGCAAAGTCAGATTCCTCTAAAAGTCATTTGGATCACTTCTGAGGCTGGAAACCTAGTTTGCAATGAGACGTCTGACGCTTCTTGCCCTGCAGCCAGGTCATATGAAAATCTTTGGCAAAGCATTTGGCACTCACAAAATCTCATAGCAGGAAAAATTCACATTTGCAAGTGCAGAAGAAAACAGTAACCTGCTGATTCCCTTGGCCTCTTTTACATGCATAGTTGGGGGGTTGCAAACAAGAACTGCACTTGAATTGCCTGCACGTACAGGAATTGTTGTCTCCATGCATAGCACCTGCAGTTATCCTCTTAGTAGCTTGAGAATTGGCTAGAAGAAAGGTGGAGAGAGGAAAGCCACAGAGTTTTGGGAGCACAGGAATTTTCAAGGAGAAACTGGATGATAAAGCGATGCTTTTTGGGGAAGAGAAAAAGCACAACATAGGAGAAGTAATATTTGGAGCTAGTAAGCAATGGTGAATGGTTTCCTGCAGGAAGCTGCTGCGCTCAGGGAGAAAGTTATGAAAACCCATAAGCCATTAGAGAGGCGGATGAGAACTCCAGAACTAAGTTTAGGGCTGAATAATGAGCTGCGTTTAGGACAGACAAAGGTGGTATCTATGTTGTATTTTAGCTGGACAGCCACAGGGTGCAACCGTCAGTTTTGTGATTAGCTGCACAGTGTCTTTGAATGTCCTGTCAACTTCTAGGGGTCTGAAGGGGTGGGAGGTACAATTGGAAAAAAATTTTAAACAGGATTTCATATACTGGTAGTGGTGATGCTACTTGCTGCTCTTCTCTCCTTTGTGGATGGCATAGCCTAGGGCTGTCTTTACGTGATGTGGTACAAATGAGTTTTTGCACACCAGCATCCACATCCGCTCAAAAATATAGGCTTAGTGTTTGTAGGGAGGAATTTACGGCACAGAATAATACTCCAGCACTGCAGATGGATCAATTGTCGTACCTTAAGGTCTCCTTTAGAAAACACAGTAAGTCTCAAAACAAAGTTTTGATTGCAGAGCCCAACATCAAGTCTCCAAAATGGCCCGGGTGAGATTCAAACGTTCCAGACGCAGGAAATCAAATGGAATCGTGTTTGGGCTCTGACATATTTCCACTGAAAAAGAAATACAAAAATGAAAGCTTATGGATGTTTAGTGCTGTGAAATCTTTCCGTAGAGACATGGCGGAATGCACCCATCCTGGGCAGAGAAGGGGATTTATTTTGTTATAAAGCTCTCCTTAATCTCTTTGGATACCAAGAGGCAGACTGAGTTTCCAGAATACATTTCTTCGCACCTCAACAGCGGTGACTCTTCCATCCTTACATTTACTAAGCTAAGCCAAAGAGCAAATCTGGGGTTGAGGAGTTTTTACTACAATTTCTTGTAGTGCCTGGTGACTGTTGAGTTGTTGTGCAGAAATGAAGGGTAATGGTCCTCCGAAGGCTTGAGCAAAGATGGTGTATAAATGCTTTGTGGCCTGTACCTCTTACATAGGAGGAAATGCAGTGCAGCAATGCTCCTTGTTCTCTCTCATCATTGCCTAGGTTTCCCC